GTTTTGAATTTCTTCTTTTATTTGTTGTAGCTATATATTCAGTGTGTTTGAATATAACAAGCACAAATAATGTGAACATTTTCCCTAAGAAAATGAATCTATGAGATTCCTAAGAAATGGATTTCTAAAACAAGTTGACTGTAGTCTGATTACATTAAAAGAGATGCTTATAAACAGTAGCAGATTTGGAAAAATTGGTAAGTATAAAGAAAAACAGTATTTATATACATACATATAATTATTGTATTTCCTTCAGAATCTTTCTCTGATGTATATTCTGCATTGTTTTAGAACCTACGCTTATTTAAACCTTTCATGCCCATGTAATAGCAGTATTTTTACATACATTACGTATTGTGGGATTTGGACTATGTTTTCACAAACTGTTCATGGCTGTTCCAGTTTCTCTCCTCTTTGTATTAGAGAGAATATTACTTGTAAGTAAACAAATCTGGACTGTATCTTAATGAAGTTTCCTATGTTAAGTGACTGGAAAGTAACACCTAATAGGTATTTTGGTCATCTTTCAGATTCTGAGTTTCATTGCATTAATACGTAGCTTTAGGGTTATTTGGGGAGCTATTTATGATGTAAAAAATAGAAATAACTAAGTTATTTTGAAAAGCAAGGAAGAAAGCAGAAAAATCCATTTCACAATGTTTTTTATAAAAATAATACTTGCTCTATGTTTTTTCAACTTCAAATGAAAATTTTTCCAGTGTGTTAGTCTTAAACTGAGGAAACCACTTGTAGGTGCAGGTGCTTTTGTGTATGATGGAAGAAAATGCAGTAAATCATTCTGTATTCCAGTGCAGACTGGTCAGTAGGGTTTTACTGTGTTAATCTTCTCTGCACACCTGTGAAAAAATGTTCTCACTTTAAACTGTTACAGCTCTGCTGACCTCAGCAGAAGAGTTTTCCTTTTGCATTAGATTTGAGCTGGGCAACATCACTCTGCTAAACTGATAGTTGTAGTCCATGTCCCCCTTCCTGCCTTTTATCCATCAGGAGCTCCTTGAAATGATGACTTAGAACATCCGACTATTTCAGATGTGTAAAATCTATACATTTCTAAGGATATCCACTTCTCCCTTAGAAAAAAAACCAGAGACCTATAAAATGTAGAAGACCAAGAACACCCTGGCACCTCAAGTCTGTTGCTTCTGGCTGGTCTAGGTTCCTGTGGGCAAACTGTTTAAGTTAAGGCTGTTACTGGTGGAGCCTTCACAGTATTTACAGTATTGAGAAATTGTTCATGGTGGAAAGAAAAGAGTGAGTGTAGTATAAACAGTTGACACTGGAGAATTGCTCATCTGAACTAATGTTGACTGGGATGGATTTTCAGATTTTTGTTTAAATAACTTTTGGCTGCAAGCAGAGCAGAACTAATCCTCTTCTGAGTCATCACTGGTGCTTCTATTTATTTTGAAGGAGCAGTCCTTCGTGATTAGGAGTACTTCATGGAACAGCCATTCTTCAAAGCCCTCGTTTCTAGTGCAGAAAACTAATCAGACCACTATTAAACTGTTTCTTTCCACTAGACCCCAGATGATCTACGGGATGGTATGTCAATAAAGAATGCATTGGCTACTAGAAATTTGAGGCAGCGATCAAGTGGAGAGAATAGGCTGGGATTTTTAGAAGACAGGGTAGACTTGGCGGTAGTTGCATCCCAGTTCCCTTAGACTGCTTCTTGTGATCCACACCAAGGGAAAACCCTGCTCCAGGAAAATAGTAAAAATGCCACATTTTCCATGTTAGCTTCATCCTTTAATCTCAGCACAGTTTTTTCTGCATGATATCTGAATTGTTCCAATGAAGTTACTGTGTTTCGGTTACTTGTAATGGATCTTCAGTTTGTACATAGACCCGTTTACCACCACCTTCCCAGTCCTTTTTTTCCCCCCCAGAACTGCAATTACTCTTGTCTTTTGCAGTTATGAACTGCACACAGTCATATTTATCCTAAATCCTGGAAAATGACCATCTTTCTCTGTTTAAACTTGGCTTGCTTCAAGCAAAAGCCCCCACTTTTCCGTGATTCCAAGAAAAAAGGAACATAACCACAAGGTTTCCCCAAAGATTTTGCATACATCTGATTCACTTAACCGCAAAAACAATAAATTATGGAGAAAATTGGGCTGCTTCCATATATTCACCACGTTATGTAATAAAGCTGATTTTTTGTTAGTTGTTTTTTTTTTTTTTTTTTTTTTTTCCCCTATCCTGAGATAAACTGAAGACAACTGTGTTCTGTGAGCACAACTGTGTGGTTGAGCATGTTTGTGGAATACATAATGTCACCGGTCTGATTGTTGATTATTCTTTCTACTTTGTCGTTTCTAATGATTTACTATTGTGCTATAAAGGCAGAAAAAAATATAGTTTTAGAAGTATAAATACTTCTGTCTGGAAAAAAAAGTTGAAATATTTTATTGGGTGACAGACAAGATCAAAAGCTTGATTAAAGGAATTTAGAAAAATTCTCTTCAATTAAATAGGTTGTTTCAGCACAGGGGACTAAATTCGTAATGAAAAGTGACAGTCTCTTCTATGTTGTGCTAGATCCACTACAGAGAGCATTTTCTCTTGCTGTGACACTTATTGAAGTCAAACACGTGTTTGTATAATGTTCTAGTTGTTGTCTGTGCCAAAGCATGTAAAAGCTGCGTAGTTATATTCTCCATCTTATGTTAGCTTGCTGTGTTGATGTACTTGCAGTAAACACTTCAGCTGATGAACAGTGGTTCCAAAGTTTATGGTATTCATTCCTAAGTCCGTGATTTTACTGTGCAGTTTTCCTTTTTGTACTTCTTTGTCATTTCTTGATAGAAATTGTTCATAGATTGGCTTTACCATGATGGTTATTCACTGCTGCAATGCCTATCATGCTGATTTTTCTGCTGTTTTTAAACTGACATAATCTGGTACACAGACTGGCTCAGAAAGTTCATAAAATTTGTAAATACCCAGTTCAGGAGCCTTATGCTTTTCATGGCCTATCCTTGTTTTAGAAATCATTATTTCCTGCAGGTTTTCTGCAGAAAATTCTGAGCTTGATGGATATTTTACAGGATATTTTTTCACACTTTAAGGCTCAAGTACTATGGCCAATTTCTCCATCCAAAGGGAAGCAAGCCCAATTCTATGACAAGATGCTTGTTGAGAGCTGGCAGGCAGATCATGGAGCCTGCCCGCTCCACAGCACCACAGTTGTGTTTGTTGCATTATTTTAGTGTTTTTAGTAAGGGTATGGTATCCTTTTTACTAAGGAAATAGTTTCACTTTGTTACTGAAAGTGTTTCACTCAGTCTAAACATTTTAAACCCAGAAGAATTCAGACGATTGAATTGGTCTTGAATTGGTACACTGTTGATGCTGAGATCAGCACCAGTTTAAATGCCTGAGGAGACCATGAAAGAAGACTTGCAGGAGAAGAGAGCTAACTCAGCACACGGCATTTGAGGAAGCATAAGGAAATTTCTGCATTTTCCATCCTCTTCTTTTGATTTGCAAGTTATTTTGACTGGAGTTCAAATCATTGCTCTGAATTGGTTGACTATGTGATTAGTTTATGCTGCTGTTTCTTCTGGATTTGAGTAAGAAAGTGCTATAAAAAAGAGCTTTATAAAATGGATCACATTTTTACTATGAATTGGATATAATGGTAACTAGACTGTGCTATCATAATAATAATAATAACACTAATAATAAGAATAATAAAATAGGAGCAGAAAGCAAGCCTGCAGATGCATGTTTAGTGCCAGGAATACTGAGGTGTAATTGTAATAATTAGAAACTGATGCAGGAGGGAAAATGCAGGGTGCATAATAAGAGCAGAGACTGCTGATACAGAAAGGTGAAATTGACTAAGATATTGGCCCCTTAATTTTAAAGAATATTCAAAAAGCCTCCTGTAATACATTTCAAGCCTTCTTGACGCTGCATTCTAAGGCATATATATAATATATATATATAAACAATGTCTGCAACTATCTGTTTTTCAATAGAAGGCAATTCGAAGAGGAGGGCTCTTTGGTGTCTTGTTATGTCTTACCCCAGCCAGCTGGTTGATGCTCCTCTAGAGGCAGCATCTAGAGTCAAGATGCTCACTGATGGGCCAGGCTTTTTACAGTTGTCTCTATGGTGTTTGAGTATCTGCTAGCCTCTTTTAAAGGTTATTCTCCATAATCCATACTGATGTAACATTAGTGCTGAAGTATCTTTTTCTGCCTTTGGTATGGGGATGGCTGAGAGGAGAGGGGTGCAGGGCCTGACGAGAACTTCTCAGCCTACCCCAAATTTTGTACTCTACTGGGTAAGCTCACCCTTGTTTATTACCATAGACTTGTAAATAGTGGTACAAAGTCTGAAATTGTTGCCTTTTTTTATGGTAGCTAGCTAAAAAGGGAGCGCTTTAAAAATTTAGGGGCTTTTTTTCTGCAGCTTTTCTTCTGAATTTAAAGAGCATCTTGAAAAGACTGATGCAATGACATTGGAATACATCTTCCATTCAGTCTGTACTGTTCAGCAACGAAAATGTAGCTTGGAGGTTGGGAAAAACCCTTGTTAGAATGAAGATAAGGGAATGCTTGTGAACTCCTTGAGAGCAAGCTCTGTTGAAAGCTTTAGATATTTTATTATCTCAGAAATCTTTTTGAGATTAACTGTGTTCACTAGCTTAAAGTGTGCCAGGTTGCAGCTGACAGTTTTTATCGTGCAAGTAATTGAATGCCATGTTTTTAACTAAAATTGCCTTGGCTCGTTTAATTTTATTTTTAATAAAAATGTGCATCTAATCTTCTATCACAAATCGAGCCAAATCAGATTTCTTTTTTTTCCCTGTTGAAGCAAAATTTAAAGCAGATGATATTTATTTTCCTTTAATTATTTGACAGCACAGGAACAATGGGGTAGGGAAGCACGGGTTCTGTACATTGGCAAGTTTTGAAGTTTCATTGGATGAGTTTTATTTATTTCTACCTCTCTTCTTTTCATAGGAAATTCCACTTATTTGGATGACCACGGACCACCCCCTCAAAAGGTGAGATGATATTATTTTGCATTTGTTTTCTTCTTTATTTTCTTTGTTTTTATTTTCTAATAAACTGCTAGTATGTTTACTTGTTCTGGAATATGTGCAATACATTTCTGCCGAGTTCAGATCAACAGCACTTGGCATTTTTTACTTTTTTTTCCCCAGTTTTCAGGCATTTGCAAGTTACTTGGATTAAATGTCTGGGTGATTAAACTAATGGAATTTTTGCAATTGAGTCAAAGGGCGATAGGATTCTAGTGATGAGTTTTGCCTGTCAGCAGACATAAAAAGAACACATTTCTTCTCTTGGACAAACATCTCTTAATTGTTTTGGACATCTCGCCAGTTGCTGCATTGTTGTTTTTCTTGCAAAATATTTGCTCACATGGTCAGCTTCTGATGAACCATTTTCTTTTAGTGCTTAAATCAAAAATGTGTATCTATGCTAGAGTGTCTGAACATCTCTATTTCATTTTCTAAATCAGTACGGCTATAACATTGCAAGTATGCAGTGGGAAGCCCAACAACACTGTTAGAGCCAATGAGGGAAGTGGACTTTTTCTGGGTAATGGTTCCTGGAGCATGAGCTCTGCTGCAAGTGCGATACTTTCAGAATACAGAACAGAACAGAACAATACATTTAGTGTTGTATATTTAGAATATGGTGATCTGTTTACAGGGGGGAAGTGAACAAAAAGTACTTTTACCATCAAGTATGACTGCATCATTGACTGTACCCTCACCATAATCATTGTAACTCATGACATTTCAGGTGAGAGCCTATATACAATGTTTTTTTCAAGAGGAAGAAGTTGATGCAGACTCTTAGGGTCCCGTGTTGTTTGTTTTTCCCTCTGCTGGCTTAGTCTGGTTTATTCTGTAAAACCTGATTTGTTACTATATTGTGTTTGTCTTTCCAGACAAGTCTCTAATAACTCCTTCTGTACGGTAGTATTTTGGAAAAAGAAAGAAAAAGAAACAGTTTTTCTGCTAAGTTTTAGTATTTCTAGATTCTCTGTGTTTCTGTACATGCAGCATGGTATCTTACTGAGGTGTTTGCATAGAACTGTGGTTTTGCAGTCTTTATGTTTTGCCTTTACAACATTTGATCATGCAACTTTTTTGAAACTGTCCAAGTTATGCCAAATTTTCACTGTTACTTGTTGAAGCAGAATGAAGCAGGGGGAGGTTTTGTAACTATGTTGGTAAAAATTAACTGTAGGCTAGTTTATATGATGTAAACTTCTAACAAAGCTCGTGACTTTGTTTAGTATAAAACTTTTCAGGTAATGCATTTTTAATGGAATGTAGGTACCCGAATGCTTTTGTAAGCCCTCTTGGCTTTTCAGTAGAAATTTTACCTATTTTAAGAACTCATTATGAAAAGGTGAGATTCCATGATGACTTCATGCCAAAACATGGACTGTGCTGCTGGAAGTGTTGCTTTTTCCACAGCAGAGCAAGATTCTCACAATCCTGGCACAGCTGTTCATATGAGTGAGCTGGAGCAGTTACCTGAAAATGCATCTTTTTTTCTAGTTTAACTTTTGGACAGATTACTAATGTGACCCTCTGTGAATGGCAGTGCATCAGGTGAGAGCACGTAGGCGGCGTGGAGGTGAAGGGCCAGCCACTCATCGTGATGGCAGTTCCCACTCTCGAGTGGTCAAAATGACTGTGAAATCACATTCTGAGCCACCAGCGTTGAATTTAAACTTTCAACCACATGTGTGAGTTAGTGTGGTGAAACAGCTGGATTTTGGTCAGCGAAAGTAGGGTAATGTGGAAAGGAATTTGATTTAGCTTAGTTCTCAGTGAAAGCAAGCTACTGTAAACTGGGATTTTTCACTTCCTTTCTGCAAACTCTGCACATGAGATCTATAATTTTTCAGCTAGTGTATGGAAATTTGTTACACTCTTAAAGTTCAGGTGGTTCTATTACAGAGGAATGATGAACTTCTGATTTTTCTTCCCGCAAACAACACGAGTTACATTTTCTACATGTATAGACATAAATGGATGTATACAGAAGTGATAAAATCAACCTTTTAACTTCATCATTATTACCTGAGATGGAGGGTCAGATCTAAAAGATCTAAAGCTTAACTATCTAAAGTTTGTAAAGCAGTGCCTTTTCTAGACCTATATTATCCATGCTTGCCTTAGCATTCAGAAATGCATAGCAGTGCCAGTAAGGGAAATCAGTAATCTAGATTAAAGTTTTGAATCTTGAAAACTCTACCCAGATTTAACATTTGGTACTTCAGAAATTTTGTTTTACCGATTAAAAGTACTGTGGATAAGAACTGTGCCCTAATGGACAGTAGCCTCTTGTCAGGTTTATCCAACCCAGGCACTTTCCGATTTAATGTTCTGAAAATTTCTCTTCCCATTCTAAGCACGTAATTTGGGGCCTCATCCAGCTCTCTCTAGAAAGGCCAGCTGATTGTGGAGTTAGGTAGTAGATCGTGTAGGTACTCTCTGATTAGTGGCCTGCATGGTCAGTAATGTTGTAGGGCTTTTTCTGTAATGATCCTCGCTCCTGAAAGCTTGCTGAAAAGATCAACAAAATAACAGGCTGTAGCCTTGTATCAGATGCAGGTATTTTACTTTTTGAAGTAGTTTTCTGTGTTGAGTGACATTGATAAAAGGTAAGCATTTTGAGCAGCCCTTGGGCAACATTTGTGCAAGCCCTTTTGTTGTTGTTTTTTTGTTTGTTTTACTATTCATTATTCTAATTGAAACTTAGACTAGGATTGTTAAAAGAGTGAATAACTCCTGCTGTTTGCTTCAGGTCACGTTCTGCACTGTGGTGCTCTTGCTCTGTCGATGTCATGCCTTGCATCACTGGCTAACAGCATTTAGTTATCCTTTTACAAATTCAGGTCTGAACTGTGAATTCTGCTAGTGGAACTAATTTCACTGTAATGGTTGTTATAATTCAGGTTGCCTCTATGGATATAGATAACTGCATTTAGACTGGTAGCTGGTTAAGGTCAATGGATGATTTTATTTGGCATATGAAGAAGTGTCAGAAGAAATTTGTCCTGAAACCGACGCTTAATTTGATTGCAAATTGCATTTTCAGTTTTTGAGTACACAAAGCACAGCTGACATGATGCAGTTCTCTTCACTAGTACATATAGATTACAAAGCCCTTGATTTCTTTCTTGTGTTACTGATAGTCACTTATCCAGGGAAGTATGCCTTTGCCTTGCTGCATTGCTGTCTGTGGTCAGTCCTGCTTGACAGTAGTGTGTGAAGCTCTGCAGTGTATTCATGATATCAGCTGTATTCATTGGAGGGAATTACAGAGTGCTCTGAGTGAAATGAAAACATAAGACGGGGATTTGGTAGGTTTAGGAAGCAAGTTTTAGAGTTAAAGATATTGTATGTGTCTGCTTAAAAATTCTTAAAAACCAGAAGTTAAGTTAATGAACAAAAAGTGCAGTGTTGAAATGAGTGATAGCTACTATCAACGGTACGTAGTTAGCTGCAGTGCAAAGCCACCAATAGTTGATATACAATGAACAGTAGCTGTTCTGCAACGTGTTCTCATATTTTATTGCAAATTGTATTAGTTTTGGCTTTCCATCATGGCTAGATGCCAATTTAGATTATTATTTTAATTTTACATACCAGGTTTTTTTTGTTGCTTTTTTTGTGTTTTTTTTTTTTTTTTTTTTTTTCCACCAGTGGAAGAACTGAAAATAGCACTTTTTCTCTGAATAAGAAATAGCATGTTTACATTCCGGGAGGTCAGAGTACTGGGTTGCTTTTTCAAGCAAAGATGGCAGCAGTAGTTCTTTCAGTGTAGGCAGACACTCCATGTGGATTGGAGTCTAAGTAATGTAATGCCTATCAATGATGCTAGCCTATTTGAGATATTACTTGTGAAATTCATGCAAATTAGTGGCAGAAAATGTTTAATTGATGCTTGAATTGTGTGAGCGTTTCAGTCAATAAATACGATGTGCTCTGTTCCAGTATTTGGGCTGGTTACTTCCTTAGCAATGCTTTTTGAGGGTAGGTTTTTTTCCTCCTTCCATGATGGCGAAGCTGTTGTTTGAGGATGATGTGATCTTCATCAAACCTAGCATTTTTATTGATGCAAACTTCTCCCCTGAGAACTTGGTAAGAATATCAGGGTATGTCCCTTTTTGGTGCAGCTGACATACATGTGTAAAGGAGCTGTGTGCACATATGACTTAAATTACTTCCAAGTGGTCATGATCTGATCTCTTTTTCTTGATGGCTTTTCCATAGGATGCCAATCTTGGTTCTGATGCCTTTGGCAGCTGCCTAGATGTCAGTGAAGTCCTATGCTTAGCACTGGTGTGATGGTACTTCAAAGCTTTAAGTCAATACAAAAATGGATGTGAGTCAGTATGAGGTTAAAACAAACAGAAGCAAAATGCATGCAGAAAATAAATTTGAATCTATTTTTATGGTTTGAAGCTGGAAAGCCAGTAAATTCCTTCTACACCATTCTTTTAGTTCTTACTTAATACATATGTGTTCATGTTTTCCTTATGGATCAAGGCTATAGAAAAATAAAGCAGAAATCCTGAGCAGCCTTTGATATGCGTTGTACACGTTTGTCGTCACACTCAGTTATCCAAAGACCTTTCTTTCTTTATTTAATTTGGTCATTCCAAAAATTGATGTCAGCATTGCCTTCCATTACTTTGAGTTCTCATGTTCATCACGTTTGTCAGCTTTATTTTCTCCAATTCTTTGGTAACACTACAAAGATTACATCTGAAAGGCATTTATTTTTCTTTTAATTTAGTTGTTTGGTTGTTTTTTTGTTTGGTTGGTTGTTTTTTGTGAGTGAATACTTCCTGTCTCGCTTGAAGGTTTGCCTTAATTCTAGCAATCTTTTTTAGATCGTGGATTTTTACTCTTGTACTGCTGTACAATATTAAGTGATTGATTTGTTAGAGATTGTTTGACTTGAACTAGGAAAAAAAAAAAGTGAGATTGCATTCTTCCAGATACACGAT